GATAAAGAAAACAGAAAGTCCACTTCCAAGTATGTCTTTGCTGTAACTGCTAGACAACATGTGGAGACAGAGTCCTGATCTGTGCTGATCTATCCCAGCAAGCCAGCAGTACCTTTTTGACAGGGTAGTGGATAATCTCAGCGAGCCTGCACCTTCTGGCCAAGACCAGACTCATTTGGCCTACAGCAGTCAGTACACTTTCTATAGGCCTGAGCCCTGCTGGGAGCCACTAGGTGGAGCCAGCACTAAGCTCTGAGCTCAGTCAGTCCCTTTCCAAGATAGCTCCCAGGCAGTTGCTCTCTTATGAGGGATGACTGAGCCCTCAGCACTCACCACCAGCTAGTGTAGCCCTCATAAGCATTGCTCCCCTCCACTGCTGTGTCTCTCTATGGAGGCCTCTGGAGTGGCCAGTAGTCACCATGTGTCTGCAGGTTTGAATCTGTCCTCTTGCACAATGAGTCCCATTTCAGGAGAAGGCGCCACTGGCCATCTCCTTCCTCCTCATTGCAGTCTCTGTCTTCACTCTCTCTGTGGGCTGCAATTCACACTTCAGATCCTTCCTGAGTCCAAGGGACCCGCGACCCTCCCTCTTGTCTTCCACACATTCTTATATACCAGCATCTGGGCAGTGACTGTCAGAGAGGCTTTTTCTGCACTGCTTACCACTCCACCATCTTGGTGTTCTTCTGTTGTCTATATGAAATTTAAGATTTTCTTTCTTATTCTTTGAAGAATGTCATATATATTTTGATGAAAATTGCATTGAATCAGTAGATTATGTTAAGTAATATGACCATTTGAACAATTTAAATTCTACCAATCCATGAATTTGGGAGTGATTTCTTCTATTTCTTTCTTTAGTGTTCATTAATTTTTATCATAGAAGCCTTTTATTCCCATAGTTACATCTTATTCCTAGGTTGTTTTTCTTTTCTTTTCTTTTCTTTTCTTTTCTTTTCTTTTCTTTTCTCTTCTTTTTGTTAAGCTATGGTGAGTGAAATTGTTTCCCTGATTTCTTTCTTAACAAGTTTATTATTGGTGTTCAGGAAAAGTATAGATTTTTAAAAGTGATTTTATATCCTGCCACTTTGTTAAATTTTAAAAATCATACCTAAAAGTCTCATGATAGAGTTTTTAGGCTTTTCTAACTACAGTATCATATCACTTACAAACAGGGAAAATCTAAATTCTTCCTTCTTATTTGTATCCCTTTTATTCTTTCTCTTGCCTAATTGCTCTGACTAAAACCTCAAATACTCTCTAGAACATAAATGCTGAAAGTAGTCACCCTTGTTCTAGATTTTAGAGGAAATACTTTCAATTTTTCCCCATTTAGTATACTTTTAGATGTGGGTTTGTCATTTATAGTCTTTGTTATAGTTTATGTCTAAATCTTATCCCCAAACCCACACATTGGTGGGACCTTGGGGAAGGTGATTGGATCATGGAATGATATGTGATGTGGGAGCTGAAGCCTGGTTAGTGGAGGTGGGTCACTGGGGACATGGCATGGAAGGTTCTATCTCCTTCCCACCTACCCTGATAGCTCTCTGCTTCCCACTGCTGTGAAACGAGCTGTTTCTTCTCTGCCCTGCACCACAGCCATGCCTCCCTGCCTTGAAGTTGGCCAACTCTAGAGAGAAGCCTGTAGACACTGTGAGCCATGATAACCCTCTCCTCATCTAATTTCCAGGTGTTGGGTATTGTGTCTCAGTGGAGAGAAAGTAACTAAGACAGTCTTTATTATATTGAGGTAAGATCCTTGTATACCTACTTTCTTCATGGCTTTATATTAAAGGGATGAGAGCTTTGTTGAAGATTTTTTTCTGCATCTACTGAGGTGATCATGGTATTTTTATCTTTTATTTTTTATGTGGTATATTTATTGATTTACATATGTTGAACTATTCTTGCATCTTTGGAATAAAATCAGTTTAATGATAGTGGTTTTTTATGTTTTGTTAAATTTAATTTGCAAATTTTTGTTTAATGATTTTATATCAAAGCTCATCAAGGTTATTGGTCTATGGTTTTCCTTATTAGTTGAGTCTATTTGGTTTTGTTAGTAGCATGCCATGGCTTTATAAAACCAGTTTGAAATTATCCATTCTTTTTCATGGGATAGTTTGAGGAGAATTGGTTTCAGTTCATAGTTAAAAGTTGGATAAAATTCAGCAGTAAATCTGTCTAGTTCTGGGCTAATTGTTGGGAGACTTCATTACTGCTTTCATCTAATTGCTTATCATCAATCCATTTAGGTTTTTTTATATCCTGATGATTTAATTTTAGTTGGTCATATGTGTCCAGATATTTATTCATTTCTCCTAGAGTATCCAGTTTCTTGGAACATAAGTGTTCAAAACAGCCCTTCCTATCCTCTGGATTTCACTGATGTCATATCCCTTGCTTCTCATTTTATTAATTTGATTTTCTCTTGCTTTTGGTTAGTTAAACACTTTATGAAAGAGAGCATCTTCTCTTTCTTTTGGTTGTTACCCAGCTGCCAAGAACAAAGCAGTTTTGTTTTACCATCCCCTTCCACCTTGACATCCCTGCCTTAGAACCAGTCAGTCATAGATAGAAAAATTCTAAGACCATGAGGCAAATTAAACCTGTCCTCTTTTAAATTGTAGGTGTCAGGTATTTTTTCCCAACAACAAAAAGCTAGCCAATATACTTACTGTGTTCTTTTAGACTCTGTTTCATCAATTTCTGCTCTGATTTTTATTATTTCTTTTCTCTTACTGGTTTAGAGTTTGATCTGTTCTTGTTTTCCTAAGTTTTTGAAATGTATCATTTGGTTACTTGTTTGAGATCTCTGATTTTTTTTTTTTTAATGTAGGCACTTGTAGCTATAAACTTACCTCTCCAAACTGCTTTCACTGTATCCTACACAGTCTTGTATGTTGTATCTTCATTTCAATTTGAGTTTAGAAATTTTTACATTTCTCATTTGATTTCTTCCATGACTCAGCCATCAGTCAGAAGTATATGGTTCAATCTCAATCGGCTTGCAGGGTTTATGTAGTTTCTGTTGTTGTTGATGTCTAATATCATTCTATTATAATCTGATAAGATGCCAGTAATTATATCAGTTTTTACATTTGTTACAACTGGTTTTATGGTCTAAAATATGATCTCTTTGGGAGAAAGTACTTGAGCTGCTGAATAGGATGTGTGTTGTGCTATTGTTGAATGACCACTGTGTAAATGTCTGTGAAATCCAGTTGATCTATAGTATAGTTTAACACTTTCTTTTTTTAATTTTTTTCTAGATGACCTATTTACTTGCAGAATAACTCTTATTCTTTTAGAATAATTTTTAATATAGTTCTGATGAAATCAGATCCTGTAGGATCAAAGTTTCTCTGCAGGGCAGTAGAGGAGATTTGTGGTTTAATTATACATGTAGCATGGGCTTTCCCATCCTGGGGTTTACTCAGTCACTTCTCTCACAGTTTTGTCATCAGCCATGTAAACTCTGTCACTCTTGGAGTCAGGAGTTCTGGACTATAATGTCTGTGAGTGTATGATCTTGACTGAAAGGAACCTGGATCTATAACTTGGAGGACAGCAGAGAAACAGGAATGTAGAACCTGTCTGAATTTCAAGTCCTTCTGAGATCTTTTGCCTTATTTATACCTGGCAAGCCCTGGAATGAACAGCACTACTACTGATGGACAGAAGAGGGTGGTTGCCTCTGGGAAAGAAAACATTAACAGTCAAATTCAGAGGACAGTCAACTGCATGGATCACTATGCTTGTTATTCATTGAGTGTTTTTGACTTGCTAAAAGCAAGTTCAATGCATTTATACATTTTATAAAGATGTAACTGTTTCTAGGCTGCTCTTTACGGGGAACATATTTCATGTTATTGTAAGCACTGAAGAAAATTAAATCAATAAATCCACGGCCTGTAATTTGAGATACTCAATTGGAAGAAAAATATATTGTCAGAGTGGGAGGAGGATATCTTTTAAATTGAGGAAGACTTGTAAACAACCTGTCTTGGCTCTAGTATCCCATGTACTCAGATGACAGCAAGAATTACCCTCCTGCTGCAAGATTAGGGAAGTGTCCTTCTGACATCGGCCAAGAGCAGAGGCCAAGTGCCTACCTTTTAAAATGAAGCACTTGCTCCAGAACAAATTAATGCAAATGAATCTCTCTGGGCCTCAACTTGCTGAACTGTCCATGTGTGTCCTTTTCCTTGAAAAAGTTTCACTGGTTGGCAATCAAACCAGGTATCCCAAAGCTTAGTGAATTTTTCCTTCTCACTGAAGCTGATGCTGTCTGACCACAGGCAAACCAATTAACTTCTCCGCAAGTCACCCTTCCATGTGTAGAAGGTTAACAGTGCAGCTTGTTTGCAAAGTGCCTTGAGCCCTCAATGAAGGGCACTACTCAAAGAGCCAGCATGGCTGTTGGACTAGAGGGCACGGTAGTTTTTAATTATATGTTTGGTTGGATAGGTTATAGATTTTATGGTAGATGAATGTTGCCTTCCTCCCTGGTTACAAATAAAAAGACTAATAGATAATCTCACTCTATTACCATCTTCTCAAGCCCTCTAGAGGTTTAAGGGAATGGCAGAGGTTATAGATTAATAATGCATTCTTTAGTTAATAAAAAAATTCTTGTGCATCTCAACTGCAAAATAACTGTAGGTGACATTTTATTAGGCTGTGTGTCTCATCAAATGCTAAACAGATAATCCAGGCAAGACTCGTGAAATGATTGGAGGTTTATTTTCCCCTGTTCCTCTAGCAATTTTCTTCATTCCTCACATCAGTATAGAGCATTAGGAACAGTTTTGTTGTGGTGTGTTTCAAATGTGTTTATGAATAATGTAAGAATGATTCTCTTATTCTAGAACTCCTGACAAAGTGACTTGTTTTTCTGGACCTAGATTGTGACGTGAAGCTCATTGTTTCATTTGGTCGAGATGTGAATGCTACCAGCCCCAGAACAGTGTCATATATTTCAAACTTCTTTGCAGACTTACGGAAAAACTTTGAGCAAGATCCGCAAGGAAGGGAGGTGCCTATCGAGGGGATGATCGTGCTGCACTGCCGCCCACCGGAGGGAGTACCTGCTGCAGAGGTAAGGCAGACTCAGCCTGCAGCTGTGAGAACCCAGGTCCGTGCATGAGAGGGAGGCCAGGGTCCTGTGTGGCTATGGTGAAGTGGCAGTGGGTCTACTTCTAGTGTTGTTGCTGTGGGACATTCTTGCCAATTGCTACAAATGATGGAAAAATTGTAAAAGGAAAAGCTAGAGAAAGAATTATCGCCATCCAATTTCTTGACATAATGCTTCCGTGTGGCAGCCTGGATAGCACTGGGTCTTTGATCTTGCCACTGGTGACCTTGGATTCTGTAAGTGTCATTACCTGAGTCCTCAGTCAAGCTCCTTGTCTATTTATTGGCTTGTGGACTAGTTCAGCTTCATCTGGCAATCTAGCGTGAAAGCATGTGCAGGGAAAGCAGTGAGTCTCTAGCCCAGAGTGCTCCTGCTGGCTAATTCATTCCTCCCTTGTTAGGGGACACCACCCACTAAGCATCTGTTGTATCATAAGCCCTGGGCTGGAGTTGGTTATGAAGTGTTACTAAACCATAGGCTGCCAATCTGCCAACCTTCCTTCATGGTGAGGCTCCAAAATCCAGAATCACCATGATTATTTCTGCTCCTGACCTGTCTTCTAGAACTTACTGGTTCCACACTATTAAAACAGGATTAAAATGAATCATGAACTATGGTAGTAGCAAAGTCTTTCTAAATTTTTAGTTGCTTTAAGAGGTGTTCTTCTCAACTGGTATTGTCACAATTGGAGGAAAGGTAAAAACTGCAAGCAGAATTAATAGAATTCATAAAATTTATATAAATCTGGAAACTTTGCCTGAGTCTAGCAAAGCAGAGTCTAGTTGTGGCTCGTCTTTGGAAAGCTAGGAAACTGTCTTTGTAGTTGTATTTTATCCATTGTGAAGCAGAAATACCTTTTTTAGAAAAAGACAAAAAACAAACAAACAAACAAACAAACAACCAGAGACTTTGCCTCATGATTTAGCTAAAACAGAGATGAAATTTGTATCTGGAAAGACAAAGGAGGGGAGAGACAAATGCAGAAACATGCACTTTCACATTCAGAGGGAAATCATGCTGGGTGGACACTATTCAAAGCTCAAATGGTTCACAGAAATGAAGTAAACGGACTTGAAAATTAAAGTGAACACTCCATGCATGAGATGAAATGATTAGAAAAGAAAATGCTTATTTTTAGATTTTTATTTAACATGGAACAAAAAGATATTGATCTTGTTTGGCTGCCTTCTTGCTCCTGAGGAAGAATGTGGTCTTGCTTCCAGAGCCTGGCATTAAGTGCATGCAGGAGTGTGCTGATCTCTGTGGGGCAGCTGCATGCAAGCCTGGGAGTCTGCTGCCCTCTCAGCTATTCTCTTCAATCACTGCTGTCCCTCAGAATCCCAAAATACCTGCGGCTCATGCACAAAAATGGTCAGCCTCTGTCATACTGCCGACCTCTTACCCTTTTCCCTTCTGGTCTGCACCAGGACACTGCGGTCAATGTTTACAGCCACACAGAGGAGTGAGGAGGGAAAGATGCTAATACTTGCTATTAGCAATCTGCCCATGGGAGCCTAACACACTCTGGATGTCTACAACTGTGTTTTTGCAGCTTAGATATGTGCTTCATACAACGGTTGCATTTCAAGACATGAAAACTGCTGTTTGGATCAAATGACCTATCTACCAAAGGTCCCCAGCACTCAGGTTACAAGTGTGTTTTCCTCACAAGGTCCAGCACAATCTGGCTTGCAGTTTTCCCATCTCCTGCTCCCTTATACCTGAAGCCACTACAGCCATACTGTGTCATTCTTTCAGCTGCACCAATGCTTCTTCTACCTCAGGTCCTTTGTACATGCTGGTCTCTACTGGAAACTTCTTCCCTGGCTGTCCCTGTGTTTTGCCATTCTCACTTCAGGGTTTGCTCAAATACCTACTGAAAATGTCACTTTTGTATTCCACTCCTATACTTATTTTTTATAGACCAAAGCAAAAGTATACCTTGGTCAAGAAAGCGTCACTGAATGTGTAAACATGCACATTCCTCCATGAATGCATACAGAGACAGACACACATACACACACACACACACACACACACACACACACACACATACACACACACTGAAGCATCTTCCTAGATGATGCAGGGAACTTATTTTTAAATTTTTATTAGCATATATTTGTAATACAGGACAGTGAAACCTGTTTTGAGAATTCGGTGCATGCATACAACATCCTCATCACTTGCACTCCTATTACCTGTTGGTATTATCTGTAGTGACAGGTCCCTAGAATGAGGTGACTGTGGATGAATAAGAAAAGGTAAACGATAAGAACAGAAGAGGCAAAAGTCTGGGATCAGGGCCCACAGCCTCTGGGACTGCAACAGCCCTGATCACCCATCGCCCTTTATTGGAACCCAGAACGTAACTCAGATCCACAGGAGAAATTCATTATCCCTTTCTATTTCTGCCTCTCAGCTGATGGTAACCACCCTCAGGCGAGCCTCCCACACCCTGCACAACATGCACTCAGCATTGCTGGGGACCATCATAAGCCGACCATCGGTAATCAGTTCATTAGCAATCACAGTCCTTCCCCCACAATTACCTCCTCCTCCTTTCTTTACTTCTGCCCCCATCTCCTTTCCTATGTCCAGAAGTCTCCTTTCTATGTTCATGTCATTTCTCCTTTTTTTGTTGTTTTTGTTTTTTGTAGGTTTCTCAAAAGAACAAAACATACAATACGTAACTTTCTGAGTCTGACTTATCTGGCTTAACACCATGGTCTCCAGTTTGGTTCACTGCAGGGGATGTAGGAGTTATAAAGGCTCCGAGGCACTAAGGGCTGGGTTGATGGAAAGATGCTCCAGGGAAGGGGGCTTCCCTCTGGGAAATAAGCAGTGTCCTTGTTAGTTCACTGTGTGCAAAGTGTGGGCTTGTGTTGAAGCTCCGGAGCAGCTCCTTGCATGGTTTTCCATTTTTCTGCTCAACACTGAGCTTCAAGGCAAATGGATTCTGCCCACTGGCTCCATCCACATTCCTCCTCCATTAGCTTCTAATGGTGATTTTTAGCTGCAACCACAAGGAAAAGTAGAGGAAGTGAAAAATATTAATACTGGCAAAATCCAATTTTGGAGAACAAATGTTTGGGAGCATTGAACAAAGAAGGTGAAAGCACAATACAGATATATCAGGAAGAAGGTGAATGTTATTTACCATGACTAACCTCCTGCAGCATTTCCAAACTACATTTTCTGTGCGTGTTTCCTAGAGCTGCTGCAACAAATTACCACCAACTGAGAGGCTTCATATGACAGAAATTTGTTCTGTCACCATTCTGGAGGTTCCAAGTTTGACATCAAAGTTCTGGTTGTTACTTGCTTCTGAGGGTTCTAAATAATCTTATAATCTGTCAGGTTCTGCTGTCAGGTTATTGCTGCTGGAGACACGGCAATGTCTGCATCACAGAATTATTATTTAATTATGTACCCAAAGAAAGATGGAAATGGTAGAACTAGGAATTGCTGTTTTATTATGATTGGAAAGAAAGTCAACTTTGGAGTCAAAATGATACCAGAAATCACCTTGGCTAGGAAGTCTGCATGTTCTAACCTGAGCTGATTTACCTGTGTTATGGTTTGTGTCTGGATGTCTCCCGAAAACCTCATGCACTCATGGGGCAGGTGTCCAGAGTTTATGATTGATTCATGGTCCAGTGCTGGGATTATGGGTGTGAGTGCTGCACCCGCCCTGGGGTGGGTAGCCTGTATACAGTGTAAAGAAGGGAAAGAGGCTGCTTACTGCTGCTCGCTCCTCGCTTTTGTTCTTGATGCTTTTGTTATTTTCACCACCTGAACTGTTGCCCTCTGCCATGTGCCACTCTGCCTTGGAGCCAGCTGAGTATGAACTGAAACCTCCACAAGCTGTGAGCTAAATAAACCTTTCGGTAAGGCTGGTGGAGGGAGCAGGTACTAGGCACCAATAGAGAAAGGGACATTTTAGTAGAATGGGAGTAACTGGCAGGACTCTAAGGGTAGAGACTGGGCCAAGAGGCAAGGAGCTAGGTTTATATAAACATAGGGAGAGGGAACAGACCATTATTGTGCAGGAGGGTTTGATTTTGGTGCACAGGAGGCTTTGTTTGAGCAGGCAGGACATTATTGGGAGGAGCTGACATTTGTGGATTAGGTTAGAGCAGGATGCCTGTCAGGAGATAAATTAGATTACAGCTGTCTCTCAGGGAGGTGGGGTTGGCTTTTGTAGTTTCACCATGGGGGTTGGGACAGGAATGAGCTCTAATGTTCCCACCTTTGTGTCTTTATGGGAAAGGGGGCATTGATTTTTCAAGTTACTTTCTGCTGAATGGGGAAGTTGTCCTGAGAGTAGCTTGGGGAATTCTAAGGTTGTTAGCAGGCTGTCATGCCAGGGGTCCTGGTTAGTAGGAATAGTTCTCTGGTACTTCTGGAGTGGGAAATTTGTTGCATAAAACACCTCAAAATTGGATGATGTAGGGTCCTAAAAGGAGAACTAGAAAAGTCATGAGAAGTGGACTGGCCAGCCGGAGGAGGATGGGTTTTTTTCCTCTCAGGCAAAACCTGAGAGGAGTCTAAGAGTGAGTGGGAGGGCCTATTGCTGGCTTTTTTACCTTGTCCATGACTACCCCTGATTGATTTATAAAGTAATTGGTTGCATCAGGATCAAATAGAGAATCGAGTCACATAACAAACAGGGAACAATACAGAACAAGAGCTTTTCCTGTAGAGGGCTGAATTAGTGACTCTTTTTGGCTTTCTTAGGGTGATAGAGACCTATTTAGAATATCAATCCCTGATGTTTATATTTAGGGAGGTATGCGGTTGTGTTTGTTTCATCTTTTGTGTTGAGATCAGGCCCACAGCTGGAGGTGTCTCTCTCACCTACAGATGTAAGGTATCTCATCCTTTGCACTGGCTCCTTCTGAGGGCCTAATCCTGTCTGGAGGCCTATAATATTTTTATCTCATTCAGTTGCTACAACATGT